TTTTTTTGGCTAATTGAAAAATTTTATTTTACCAAAAAAAAAAAAAAAAAAAAAACATTATGATTATGGATGGATATTATTCACAAAGGGATATTTATCATTATGATTGATAAACAAACAAACAGAAAAAAAATTCCCTTTGGCCTTTGTTGCGGTCATGTTCAAGGCATCTCAAATAAAACAAAACGGTTTCTGTTTTTTTTTAAATGACCGCAATGACCTAATTATAGCCATGTTCACCTTGTTTTAATGATTTAACATTTAACAACATTGACCTTTAACCATACAATGAGCTTATGTAATAACCATCATCGTTTTCATCATATTTTTTGCAGACAATTTCCATAGAAATCAATTCAATATAACATTCTTATCGATTATTTCGAACAGTGCTTTTTTTTATTCATTCATTGATTTCATTTCATATATAGAATCTAAAAACAACAAAAATTAGATTTCAACCAACAACAACAACGAAAAAAAAAATCATCTAAATAAAAATTTCATTTGTATTTTTTTTCAATAATAAACTCTATATAATGTAAATGTGTGCATCCATTATATTCAACACCGGTTGATCAAATTGTATAAAAGCTCCAATAAAAGGCATTGAAAATCATATAGGAAACAGGAAATATAATACGTGAATAGCGATCAATTTTGTTTACATCTCGTACTTTTTTTGTTCCATTATTCATTGTAGATGATGAGCAATATGGCTGTTGTTGTTGTTGTTGTTGATGCATTGATTGTTTATTGGACATTCCAGATCTTTGTGATTGTTTTGAACGTCGATAACGTAATGATGAACTATTATTTCGTAAATGATGACCATAACCATGATGAAGAAATTCGGATGGTTGTTGTTGTATTGATTTATCGTGATTATATGGATTGAAATCTGAATTTTCATTCATTGGTGGTGACTGGTGTTGTTGTTGTTGTTGTTGTGATGGTGGTTGCAATGAATGTTGATCATCATTATTATCACCTTGTTCGACCATTATATCATTAATATTTAAATTATAATATGATGATGATGGTGGTGCTGGTGGTGGCGGTGATGGTGCAAATCCATAATCACCTAATGGTGGTATTTGATACGATTGTTGTTGTTGTTGTTGTTGTTGAGTATTTTGCTGATCAAATAATAATTGTGATGAAATTGGGAAATTTTCTGGAAAAATTTTTGTTTTCGATAATGCCAATAATGAATTATCATTTGATGATTGTAAATTCGATAGATCAAACATGATTGTTGATTGTTGTTGTTGTTGTTGAGCATTTTGCATTCGCTGTTTTCTATTCACTAAGTGAGATGATTGAATATTACGTAATGAAGCTATAGGTGATATGGCAACATCTTTATATACAGGTTTTTCTTTAGCAATCAATGTAGATGAAGGTATTTGTACAGGCGTTAATTGAGACTATATTGGAAATTTGGAATAAATATTTATAACATGAATTATGGTTATAATTTTATTGCTTACATTTACGGAATAAGGTTGTTTGATTATCTTTTGATTTGCTGTTGTCATTGGACATGGTATTGTATCTTTTTTCAAATGAATCATACGAGAATTTTTTCCCATACGTTGATTAGGTAATGACCATTTAGTTGAATGAAGATCCGAAGGTGATGTACCAGATGAACAAGATGATGTTCCAGTATGATGATGATGATGATGTTGATGTTGTGGATTTGGTTTGATTTTTTTCTTTGCACGAGCACCCCAATATGTATAATTAACAGCTGCATATTCCAATAATGCAGCAAATACGAATACAAAACACATTACCAAATAAATATCTATAGCTTTTACATAGGAAATTCTTGGTAATGAACTACGAACACCAGTACTAATAGTGGTCATTGTTAATACGGTTGTAATACCTAATGCAACACGTGCTGATGTTGCTTCATGATTTATCCAAAATGAAACCCATGAAAGCATTACAATCAATATTGATGGTAAATATGTTTGAAAAATAAAATAACCAATATTACGTTTTAATGAAAATAATAATGATAAACGTTGATAAGTTCCTAAGTGATAAAAAAGTTATTAGTGAAAAAAGAGACATTTTTTTTTGGGTAAAAATATATAAATACCAGTTGCTAATGATTCTTTACGATCAGTCGTTTCATAGCCAACAATTGTAAATTGATGAAGTTTAGCATCTTCAACACCATTTACAGGTGTATCAGTCCAATACATCACTACATCGGAAACGGTATATCCATCTATTATCAGTAAAAATGATCATTATTCAATGTCTTTTTTCATTGAAAAATAAAATACATACAGCTTTCAATTTCAACCGTACAATTTTGTGAATCCAATGGATAATAATGTAAATCCATCATACAGGCTAATGTTGTTGTAAATCTTTTGCCAAAAAATCATAAATTGAAACAAAATGTAAAGGAAAAAAACACCGACTAACCTCATTCCATAGGAAACCGAACCATCCGATTTTAAACGTACCATTTTATTTTTTTCAGTAACTTCATGTAAAAATGAATTTTTATCATTTGCAAAACTAAAAAAATTAAATTAGTAAATTTTGTTTCATTTGTTTCAATTTCGAATCTTTTTGTTCCTGTCCAAAAGAACACAAACACTCATATAAATAAAAAAACAACTATTTCGACTTACAATGTATCAGGTACCCAAATACGTTCACTAAAATCACCGGACAATGTTAATTCAATATTATCATCTTGTCCAAATTTAAGACGTTCATCACGCCAATATTGATGTAAATATAATGTTAATGTATAATCCTTGTTTTTTTGGTGAATTCGAAGAAGCAAAAAAACGAAAAAAGAAAAAATAAAGAATTTAGAATTCATCAATAATTCAATTATATATGTTTTGGGCTATAAATTCATTTGTTATAACGACAAATTTTTCTTTGTGTGTGATGTGTTATTTGATCATTGAATAGAAATATGGAAGAATGTTCGATTTTGATTGGATCCGAATCAATTTGTCCTCGGCAATTGGCTCGAATGAAAAAAGAAAATCTTCATTGTCTTATTCATTCCGAGCAAATGCAACTTGATATTTTGAATAATTCGCTATGTGAAAATCAAGATATTATCATTGATAAATGTATTAAATTTAAACGTAGCCTTTATCATGGTCATTATTCGGATGTATATTTGATTCGATCGAAAATTCAATTTGCAACAAAAATTTTACGTAAAAATTTTGTTGCCAAAATTGTTAATGTTGATTGGTGTCCTAAATATTCTAATTATGAAAATGAAATTCAAGTTTGTAATTTTATCAAGGTTTTTTTTCTGTCAATTTTTTATTTTCTTTTTCTTTTACAATAATGTTTTTTAAATGATGATCTCTAATAATGAATATTGTTTTCTTTCTTCCTGTTCTCAAAGGATAATCCACATCCAAATCTAATCGAAATTATCAATGTTTTACAATTTGAAAGATTTACAACAATATTAATGCCATATGGTGGTAAAGAAAATCTTGCTGAATTTCTTAAATGTCAACCAGATCATAAAATTACATTATCAATGGTAAAATATTTATTTTTCAAACAATTATTAATGGCAGTCAATTATTTACACATTAATCATATTGTACATCGTGATTTAAAACCAGAAAATATTCTTATTGATTATCAAACCGAATCACTACAATGTCGTTTAATTGATTTTGGTTTTTCCAAATTAATTCAACAACCACATATTGATATTTTGAATAATAATCAACAACAACAAGCACTTTGTTCAAGTCATAAAGGTGTATTAGAATATATGGCACCTGAATTACTTGCAAATTGTTTATTTTATGATGCATATAAAACTGATGTTTATTCATTGGGTGTTTTACTTTATCTACTTATATATGGTCATTGTCCATTTGAACTTGATAATAATTTAAAATCTGAACAATCATTTGAACAGAATTTATATTATTTTCGAAAAATCAAACAACAACCAATTCAATTTCCTAATGAATCATTTTTAGAAGATAATCATCATCATCATCAACATCATAAAGATTTACTTGTACAAATGTTAAATATAAATCCAATACAACGACCATCGATCAAAGAAATTATTTCAACTTACCATATTTACTTCGGAAATTGAATCAAATGATGCAATTGTTAGATCCATTCCAATATGTAGTGGATCGCCTTTTTAATAGATAGAAAAATATTAAATTAAAATTTTCTTCAAATAATTTTATCATCATTTTGACAATGAATGAATTTTTTACTTACCACCAAAATTTGGCCTTAAACGTATATCATAATCTTCAAGTATTGTTTGTAATATTTTTGTAACATTATCAGTAAATTGTCCATCAAGCCATGTCATCATTGATGATGGATAATTATTATTATTATCATCTTTATATTTATTATGATGATGATGATCAGATTTTCTTAATGGTGTCCATGGTTTACGTTCATTTGACATTTTTGTTACTGTAATTGATGATTTTAATGCTGATGTTTCAATATTATTTATATCACTATTATTATTGAATATAGCTAATTGTTGTTTTTGTTTACGATTCGTTTGATAATGATGAAATGCTTCGGCATGAATATTTTTCTTATTATTATCAATGATTGTTGTTGTTGTTGTTGTTGTAGCATTCATCATTTGAATCGATGGTAATGTTGGATCAATCATTGAAGTATCAACAATGTTTGAAGATAATTCGGATATCGTTGTTGTTTTTGTTGTTGATGATTCATTCACAAATGTCATCATTTGCTGAGCACTAATGTTTTGTTGTTTTTGTTGTTGGATTGAAACATTGAAGATTTGAATACATTAATAATTTAAAAAAGGAAGAAAAGATATAACTTACCAAACGTTCGATGTAAACAACAAAAACAATAATGAAAAGATTTTAATAAAATTAGAAAAAACTATCACATTCAAAAGACATTTTGTTGTTGTTTCAAATGGAATTCGGTGAAATAATTTGTAAAATTTTTCATTTAAATTCATCATCATAATCAGAATTTGACCATTATCGTTGTTGATTATGTATGATATTCGATGATGACCACGTTTTGGCCATTTTTGTTGTCGTAGATGATTATGATGATAATATTTCATTCGAACATCATCATCATCATCATCGACATAAACATTCGAAATCGAATCCATCGATCTTTTAAATAAAATGATCAGAAATTAATTAATTAAAACATCCATAGTTACAAATAAGTTGTAAGTTGACAACCAAAAAAAAAATCAATCGATTAATTGTCTTTTCAATTCATAGGGAAATTCATTGGGAGAAAGAAAAAAAAGTTCAACATTAACCAATCATATCAATCATTCAGTTCTGAACTTTTTTTTTTTGTTTTCCAATTCATTCTTGGAGATTCGAGTTTTTCACGACTACGACGACAATATATGACCCCCGAGAAACGAACGAGTTTTTAATGTGTGGTGGTGGTGGTCGTGAACACTATGTCAAATAACTTTATCAATAAGATATTCCATCACTAAGAAGAATGAAACGAAAAATGAAAAAATAATTCGCTTGAATGGATTCCATTTACTGTTATAATAATGATGATGATGATGATCGTCGTTGAAGATTCGTTCCATTTTTTTCATTCATTCTGCTTCTCTCTCCACACTATATTATTCTATACTTTATCAACAACCAACGAAAGAAAAAAAACAGAATCGGAATCTGTCTGAATCTTGATTGACTCAAATGGATGTTCATTGGAACATCATCATCCATTCCTTGTGTGTGTTTTTATGGGTTATATATTCTGCACATCACAGAATATATAAAAGGAATTCTACTTCTGCCTGCTACTAGAATATTTTTTTTCTTCCATCCAAATGATTCTTATTCCACGTTTCTTTTTCTTTTTTTTTCTGGGTGCAAAACAAAATCCAGTGTGTAAACACTGAGATGATGCTCTATAGATTCTTTTTTTGGTTCTTTGAAACCAGAAATTCTTCCCCTTCTTCAAGTCTCATTTTTCCATTTCATTTTCGTTTCCTTATCTGATTCGATTCGATTCGATTTTATATAACGTTCTTTAAACTAAACAAAAAAAATAACCATAACCATAATCATCCTTATCATCATTAGATTCATGTGTTTTTCTCTTTTCTTTGCAAAATTCTTATCACGATCGATTTTTCTTTAAGAAGAAATTTTTTTTATATTGAAAATCATCATTCAATGAATGTACAATGAAAAAATGGTGATGATGATTTTAGTGACATCATTTTTTCTTCTTCTGACTATTTCTATTTGAGAATGACATCTATATTTACTTTGCACTTTACTTTACTTTACTGTTTATTTGCTTATTACGATTTTTTTGGCTGATGAATGAATCAATGAATCCAATAGAGGGAATGTCGTCGTTTTCCCCCTCCATCCTTTGACACATTCCAAACACAGACACACACACAGATCATTGATGTCCGCTGATATAGCATCTCAAAATCAATTCTTGTTCTCTCTATATATATGAATTCTCTGTGTGTATATTAATCGATTGAGAACAAACTATTCGAACGTTATTTTTATTTTATTCGTTCGATTAGAATAATCATTAGTTGTTGTTGTTTTTAAAGTATCTGGTATCCCAGACTAATGATTTGATTGTGCAGAAAAAAAATGATTCAAATTTTTTTCTGTGAAAGTCAAAGAAGAAAAAACAATTTTTATTGAGGCAAGATTATCCTGTTTTCTCTTACATATCAAACATGAAAGAAATGAGAACCGGCTGTCGTTCAAAATTCATTAATTCTTGGAATTTGAGTCAAGTTTCTTCATCTTTATCTCGTTTATTTTTTTGTTGCTTTTGGAAATCTCTGTCATTTGATGGACAAGTTATTTAATGGAGAAAAATATTTGAAATGAATGAATGTGATTATAGGCAACTTTGTTGTTGTTGTTGTTGTTGATCAACTTTAACAACAACAACAACTTTCAATTATATAGCTACCAGAATGGCTTTGAGAAAATCAATCAATCAAAATAACATCCTAATCGATCTATGTTTGGTTAATGGAAATTATTCATTGGATTTTTTGCTTTTGTGGAATGGTTTCATTTGAATGAAAAAAAAATGTCATTAATAATGATCGATTGATCAAACTCAAATTTGAAAGAAAGGAGTAACAACAAACAACAACAACAAAAAAACGGATATGGAAATAGCTAATTTTATTAATTAATTTTCGTTTTTTTTGGTTATTCAGTTTTTTTTTGTTTTGAATCAAAATCTTCATTATGATTACGATGTAAAACATAGACTAGTATTGAATCATAAACTAATGATAACATTGATACATATAATACACGATATTTTGTTGGTAAATAATAAAAATTAAAAAATTGTAACGGTATATAGAACAACCAATCGGCCATTAAAAGATATTTAAAATTTTCACGAATATCATCGATAATTTGTTGATTAGATTTATGGCCAAGTTTTCCAACAATAAAAAATAATGTTGTTGCAAATGGTGGTCCAACAATTGCTTCGGATAATAATTTTTTTATTATCATTTTACGATTTGTACCCGGGAAACAACGATCCAAAAATCCATACCAAAAATGACTTATTGATCCCATATATGTACCGGCTATACAAGAATTTACTGTTGAATTGAAAAAAAGTTTAATATTGAAATATTACCGAAAACAAAATACAAACCATTACGATTCAAATCAATTTTCGAACGTTTATCAATATATTTTTGTACAATCATATCACCTGTACCGAAAAATATCATACCGGTTGCTGTGTTTGTCCAGAAAAGATATTTCGATGAATAAAGTATTCTTGATATGTTTCGTAACATTATTTTTTTCAATTTTTGATCGATTTTTCATCATTAAATTAATATTGATTTGGAGAAAATGTTTTTCGAAACATGTGGAGATAAAATTATTCTACTATTTAAACATTTGATGTGAATCTTTTGACAAAATTGAGTTTAAATAGTCGTTTGAAATTTTTGATTTTGAATTTTTCAAAAAAATTTTTAATTGAGTTTGAAAACCAAAAACAAACAAAAATCGATCATCGACCACGACGATAATTAGCAAATCAATTAGCCTCCAAAAAAAAAAAATTTAATCACTCTTTGAAATTCTTTACAAATATAAACACGTACGTAATGATTACAATTCTATATCATAGATGACAGTACTATATGTGAATTTAATTTTATTATTCTGGTTTGTTTACAAATATTCAAAGTATTCAAGCATGTCGAATCATCATCATTTCAATCAATATGAAGATGTTGACGATGTAATTCTTTAATCAAATGAAATATTAAACAAACGAAAAAAAACAATGTCGCTAACATTGAATCGTCATATTTATCTTCCATTATTTGTTGCATTTTTAAATTGTTTTTTATTTTTAATCGCTATTATTTCATTATTTATTCGAGGTAAATTTTCATTATTTCCAAAATGTTTGATTGAAATCGATTGAATCATTTTTTTTCAAATAATAAATAGATGCTGATCATCAACCACATTGGTCAAGATGTGTATTAGCAATTCTTATTCCCAGTTTGATGGCTTATCGTGGTCTAAAACGGAAAACCATCGATTATACGGGAGCTATTGCCGGTTTGTTTAGATTCTCTTATTTTGGGATTTTTTTTTAATTTAATGATTTTCTCAAATTTCGTACAGGTATGATAATTGGAATGTCAGTGATATTATCAAGCTATGTCGGTATGGTTGCATTCATAACCTGTTATTTAGCTACATCGAAAGCAACCAGAATAGGTGAAGATATAAAACGACAATTTGAACCAAATTTTAAAAAAGGTGGCCAAAGAAATTGGATACAAATTGTCAGTAATTTAGGTGCTGCAAATATTGCCTTATTATTACGTTTAATTTGGTTTGGTGTTGGTGAAATTCGTTTGGATTTTTTACATAATGAAAATTATTGGAATTCATGGTTATTACTTTCATCATTGATATCAATATCAGCTGCATTGGGTGATACATTTAGTTCGGAATTAGGTCCAGTATTTTCTGGACCAAATACTGAACCATTATTAATAACAACATTACGTCGTGTACCACGTGGAACAAATGGTGGTGTTACTATTGATGGATTTATAGCCGCATGTATTGGTGGATTTATTATTGGCCTTACTAGTTATCTATCAATCATAATGTTTATACCAACATCTGGATATTGGATACAGACAACCACTTCACATCATATAAAATGGTCAACACCACAATGGCCATTATTACATTTTTGTCTTTATAGTGGATTATTAGGTTCAACATTAGATTCATTAATGGGTGCTACATTACAATATACTGGATTTGATCATCATCGTCGTCGTATTATTGAAAATGATCAACAACAAATTGTTGATCCATTTGGATCAACATTATCTAATTCATCCAATTTTGAACATATTACTGGTCGTAATATATTGAATAATCATGAAGTAAATCTAATAATGACAATTATTATGGCTACTATTGTTCCATTAATAATAATGCCATTATGGCCATTTGGTTTTGGTGATTCATATTGAAAATCAATAATAATAATAAAAAAATGATCCTTTTGTAATTAACTATTTTTTTTAATGTATATGCTCCATTTTTATTGTTTTTTGTTGTTTTATTTAATGATCCAATAAAATTTTCGGTAGGTCACAGGTTAATTAATATTGTTTTATTGTTGTTGTTGCAGCTTATTAATTCATTTCCATGGTTACCAGAGTTGAATTTTTTTCAAAATGAAATGAAATAGCTGTGGCGAATACTTACTTTGAAAAAAACCTGTATTTTTTTCCCTAAAAAAGACAGGCAGGTAGATAGACATCACCAATCATTTTCATTATCATTGCCCTAAGAAAATGAAAAAAAAGAACGGTGGGAAGAGAGAGAGAAAGGTAATAACGATGGAGAGAGAGAGAGAAATGGTAGTGAGAACCAGGCAAAAAAAAAACATCGAGCAACAAGTTCGACATGGTTGGAATATTATGTTTGTTATTCGTGAGTGTGTATGATGTCTATTTTTCCAACATGAAACATCCCGAATGAAAAACATCAACCACAAAATGGAATAGTAGTGGTAGTTAATTAATAAATAATAATGAAATTCAACGGGCCAATATGATTATTATTATCCAATATAAGTGACCATTCATTCATTCATTCATAATGATGATATTATCCAGAATTTTCTTCGTTTTCGATTCATTCATTTACGTTCGTTTTTTAAACAACAACAGTTTGTCAACACACACACGCACACAGAATAGAATCTGAATAATTGATTTCATCGGGTGAATGATGTAACCAAGACAACCGAATCAAAATGAATGGTATAATAAATAAATAAATATGAAAAATCAGTTATCGAAAGCCAACAAAACCCAGAAAAACAAAATAATAATATAGCCAAACAAACAAACAAATAAATGAATCGTATCCATATTTTCAATTTTTTTCAGTTTCGTTCGTTTGTTTGAATTTATTATTTGTTGCTTTGTTTGAGTTTTATTTTTTCTTCGTATACGACAATTTCTTGTGTGTGTTTGTGAATTGAATAAAGTTTTTTTTCATTTTGTCAATCTGAACAAATCTAAATGAATGAATGAATGAATTATGGCGGCGGCCATTCATTGATAATTGATTTTAATCATTTTCAATAAATAACTTACAATATCCATATGGTTGTTGATCCAATTTAGTTTAATCAACAACAGCAACAATATTCGTTATTCAGATTTTCAATCTTCCGAAAAAATTTTTACAAGTTTTTTTCATCTCCACACAAACTAATGACGGTTCCAACAGGATCAACACAAAAAAAAAAATTTGGGCCATTCATCAAAAGTATATTTTTAACAACAAAATTTCTGCTTCTGAAAATCTACAACAACAAAAATCAAACAAATTTTGCAACAAGTTTCTCCTGTTTAATCGATAAAAAAAAACGAAAAACCTTGAAATGTTTCTCCGTGTTAAATAATAATCAATATTATCACATCAGTATGTAAAAAAAAATCCATAGGAACAACAACAACAATTTAGATTTTTTATATTCAAATCTCTTAGCAAAACATAAAAATTTTTAAAAAAAAAAATTTCATTCGGATGTTAAACACACACACCGAGAGAGAGAGAAACTGAAGAAAACGTGTTGCATATTTTGTTTTAAAATTACCATTAATGATTACCATTGATCTCATCATCATCGAATGAAAACCTTGAAAAAAAATATTTTAAATTTTGAAAAAAAAAGATTTACCTCAAATTGGCAATTAGATTAATTTGAAAAAGAAGAAAAGAAGAAAAGATGTCTGATTATTATGATGCATCAATCAATTCGGTAAGTGATGAATCTTTCGTTTTTGGTTGATAATTTTTTTCTTCTTTTTCTTTCTTTTCTGAGCTGATAAAGACCTGGTTATACTTGATAATGAATTGATGTTTTTTTTTCGTTTTGCATTCGCATTTTTGGACGACAAAATTAAAACCAGTCTTTGTCGGTCAACAAGAATCCATAAGTTTTTATTTAACCCTTTAGTTCTATTTATTCTAATTTGTATCTTGAACATTATGAAATGTCACAGTTGTTCAAGAATCTGAATTAGTTTAGTATCTGTTTAAAAAAAAGTAAAAGTTTAAAAGTTATTACCAATATTTAGAAGAAAAGAAAAGAAAAACTTTCAATCATTGATCAATCAATGTCGCCTGATATTTTTTGATTTTGATTTTTGGTTTTTCCGAATCATTTTTATTTATTTATGAAAATATCTTTAATGAAATCATCATCGAAATCAAAAGTCTGTCGAATGACGTTTGATGATGGTGGTGGATTTTTGTTCAATTTAGACAAAAAACGAAAGAAAATTTTTCATAATTAGGACAATTTTAGTATTTGGGTAACTTGTTAATATAGAAATTTTTTTGGTTTTTTCTGTTGTTTTTGTCAATATTGAATAAACATATCCACACAGATTGCATTTTGAATGGATGAATTGCTAATCAATCGTTTGATTATCAGCTTAGCCAAGTTCTTATCTTTGTCGTTTTTCGAAAAAAATATTCTCATTATGTGAATGTTTTTCTTCGGTGGTGGTGGTGGTGGTGGTTATCATTGACTGAAATTCACTTTTTTCTTTCTTCAATCTTTTTCAAGTGATATGATTTATTTGCCGTCATGAACGTAATTGATTTAGTTTAGATACTTTTGGATAAAGATATGGGAAAAGATATTTTTTTTTTCTTTTTCGTTTTTGGCCATCCAGACCAATTTGATTTGAAAAAACTGAATAAAATTATTATTGATCAATTGATCGATCGGATTCGATCTGTTTGAATCGATTTATTTATTTCATTATTTGTTCTTGTTGATCCAAATAACCAAATAAGGATTCCTTAATGTTTTTTTCTTGTTGAAAATTTTCTTTTCGTTCAAATCATCATCATTGACAATATAATCATCGCAATTTAAGAGTTTTTTTCGTGTTGTTTGTTTTGTTTTGTTTTAAAAAATCCTACTTATTTATTTAAATATATAGTATAATCGTGCCGGTGACGATTCCGGTAGTTATCATATGGCAGTTAGTCCAGATTTACCCGATGATGGGTTAACATTAGATGGTAAACCACGTTTTATTCGTTATCAAAAACGACCACAAAATGAAATGAAAAAAGGTAAAATGGATTTGGAAAATTTAAAAAAAGAAGTTGAAATTGAAGAACATCGTATACCATTACCATCATTATGTTCACGTCTTGGTACTGATCCAGATTTGGTAAGTTAATTTAACCAACCAACGAAAAAATCAAATCAAATCAAGCCAATAGCACACACACACACACACATTTGGTCGAATTTGATCGTCCTTATTATTTTTTTTCTTAGCGATTAATCAATATAAAACCAATGATAAAATCAATGTAATCAATATTTTTTTATTTCAAATCAGAAAATTAGTCGTTTACCAATCAATCAATCAATCAATCATAATCAAATCAGTTCAATTAATAATTAAATAAAGAGCGAGGCAAAAAATTCTTCACTGAAAACTAGATGGCATCATTGTGCATTTGTTTATTTCCGTTTGAATTTCAATTTTTCAATTTTTCAATTTTTCAATTTTTGTTTTTCGTTTTTCTTTTTTTCGTTTGTTTTTCTTTTTCGTTTGTTTTTGGCCAAAACCAACCACACCAAAGGGTCTTACCAAACAACAAGCAGCCGAAATTTTAGCACGTGATGGTCCAAATGCATTAACACCACCTAAACAAACACCTGAATGGGTAAAATTTTCAAAAAATTTATTCGGTGGTTTTGCAATGCTTTTATGGATCGGTGCATTATTGTGTTTTTTAGCCTATTCTATTCAAGCATCATCATTTGATGATGCTGTTGATGATAATGTAAGCTTTATATATTCTGATTACGATTAATGATTTTGGATTTTTAATTTGAAGAAATTTTTTTTCCCACATTAGTTATATTTGGGTGTCGTATTGGCCACTGTTGTAATTGTTACGGGAATATTTTCCTATTATCAAGAAGCAAAAAGTTCACGTATAATGGATTCATTTAAAAATATGATACCACAATATGCAACTGTTATACGTAATGGTGTTAAAATGACTGTTTCGGTTGAAGAAGTTGTACTTGGTGATTTGGTCGAAGTTAAAGGTGGTGATCGTATACCGGCCGATTTACGTGTTATATATGCTGCCGGTTTTAAAGTTGATAATTCATCATTAACAGGAGAATCTGAACCACAATCACGTTCACCCGAATGTACAAATGTTAACCCATTGGAAACGAAAAATATTGCATTTTTTTCAACAAATTGTGTTGAAGGAACCGGTAAAGGTATTGTTATCAATACAGGTGATCGTACTGTTATGGGAAGAATTGCAAATCTAGCTAGTGGATTAGAAATGGGTGATACACCTATTGCCAAAGAAATTACACATTTTATTCATATTATTACCGGTGTTGCTGTATTTTTGGGTGTATCATTTTTTTTCATTGCATTCATACTTGGTTATCATTGGTTGGATGCTGTTATATTTTTAATCGGTATTATTGTTGCAAATGTACCTGAAGGTCTTTTAGCAACTGTAACCGTTTGTTTAACATTAACAGCAAAACGTATGGCAAAAAAAAATTGTTTGGTTAAAAATCTTGAAGCAGTTGAAACATTAGGTTCAACATCAACAATTTGTTCAGATAAAACTGGTACATTAACACAAAATCGTATGACAGTATCACATTTATGGTTTGATAATCAAATATTTGATGCTGATACAACTGAAGAACAAACACGTTCATCATTTAATCGTTCATCAAGAACATTTCGGCCATTATCATTAGTTGCATCATTATGTTCAAGAGCTGAATTTTTACCTGGTCAAGATCATATACCTGTTATGAAACGTGAATGTACTGGTGATGCATCTGAATCGGCCATACTAAAATGTATGGAATTAATTGAAGGACAAGTATTAGCATTTCGTGAACGTAATCCAAAAGCATGTGAAATACCATTCAATTCAACAAATAAATATCATGTTACTGTTAATCAAATAATGCCAAGTATCAATGATTATGGTGATTGTAAATATGTTTTATGTATGAAAGGTGCACCGGAACGTATACTGGAACGATGTTCAAACATTATGATTAATGGTGAACGTTTACCATTGGATGATGAATATCAAAAAGCATTCAATAAAGCTTATATGGAATTAGGTGGTCTTGGTGAACGTGTTATTGGTTTCTGTTTTCTACCATTACCAACAAAAGAATTTCCATCCGGTTTTAATTTCAATGGTGAAGATATAAATTTTCCACTTAAAGATCTTTGCTTTTTAGGTTTAATATCAATGATTGATCCACCAAGAGCTGCTGTACCGGATGCTGTTGCTAAATGTCGTTCGGCTGGTATTAAAGTTATTATGGTTACTGGTGATCATCCAATTACAGCTAAAGCTATTGCTAAATCTGTTGGTATTATTTCCGAAGGAAATGGTACACTTGAAGATATTGCCGAAAAACGTAAAGTACCTGTTACGGAAATTGATCCACGTGAAGCAAAAGCTATTGTTGTACATGGTTCACAATTAAAAGAATTTGATCAAGAACAATTGGATGATGTGCTGCATAATCATACTGAAATTGTTTTTGCACGTACTTCACCACAACAAAAACTAATTATTGTTGAAGGTTGTCAACGTTTAGGTGCAATTGTTGCTGTTACCGGTGATGGTGTTAATGATTCACCAGCGTTGAAAAAAGCCGATATCGGTATTGCTATGGGTATTGCTGGTTCAGATGTATCGAAACAAGCAGCTGATATGATTTTATTGGATGATAATTTTGCATCAATCGTAACCGGAGTTGAAGAAGGTCGTCTGATTTTTGATAATCTTAAAAAATCCATCGCCTATACATTGACATCAAATATACCGGAAATTTCACCATTTTTAATGTTCATTTTAGCAAATATACCATTACCATTAGGAACAGTAACAATATTATGTATTGATTTAGGTACCGATATGGTACCTGCAATTTCATTAGCATATGAAAAAGCTGAATCCGATATAATGCGTCGAAAACCACGTGATGCAAAAAAAGATAAACTTGTTAATGAACGTCTTATATCCATTTCATATGGACAAATTGGAATGATGCAAGCAAGTGCCGGTTTTTTTACCTATTTTGTTATTATGGCTGAATGTGGTTTCCTTCCAATCGATCTATTCGGTATCCGACGACAATGGGATTCAAAAGCAGTAAATGATTTAACCGATTCATATGGTCAAGAATGGGTATGTTTTTTTTTTGATTTTATGTTCTATCTGATGATCGTATTATAATTCAAATCCAAAATTGATCATCATTATGTAGACATATGCAGATCGAAAAACATTGGAATTTACTTGTCATACTGCATTTTTTGTTTCGGTAAGCATTGCTAAAAGTTTTTTTATTTGATTTTTTCATGAATTTCCCTCTCTCTGATTATATCCAGATTGTCATCGTACAATGGGCTGATTTGATTATCTGTAAAACACGTCGTAATTCTTTAATTCATCAAGGAATGGAGTATGTTTTTTTTATCATCATTTTTGATTTTATTGATTAACTAAATTGTTGTTGTTTTTCCTTTAATTCAGTAATCATGCATTGAATTTTGGTTTAATATTCGAAACATGTTTGGCTGCAGCATTATCATATGGACCTGGTATGGATAAAGCACTTCGAATGTATCCATTAAAGTATGTTAAATCATCAAAAATCATTATCAAACTGAACTGATTATTCATTTTTTGTTGTTGTTATTGATTAATTAAGATTCTCTTGGTGGTTAATTGCTATACCATTTTCGATATTAATCTTTATCTATGATGAAGTTCGTCGTTATATTCTTCGTCGTAATCCAGGTGGTTGGGTCGAAAGGGAAACATATTATTAAAATATTGAATTTATCGTAAAAAACAAAAACAAACATCATCAACCATCATGAATAACCTAAGCAAACAACATTTCAAAAATTTTATTTTGTCGCAATAGTGTTTCCTATTATAATTATTATGATTATTATTCACATCGTTTCAAACTCGCATCTCTGAAAAATGATGAATCTGTTTTTTTTAGAAATCAAAGTTATTTTTAAAAGAATTTTTTAAAATGTTAAATCAATTCAATTCTGTTTCGAAATCCGAAATTTCTTTTCTACTTTTTAACGAAATAAAAATGTCCATTTTTTACCTCACATTTTCATTCGAAAAGATTCGATGGTCGATGAAATTTCAAGACAAAAGATGGCGCTAAAAAACATGCATTTGAAAATTGGCACCATCTATTGACAAAAATATTAAAACAAAAAATATTCGAATATTGTATTTTATGAGGAATAATAATAATAAATTTTTATTTTGTTTTCAAATAATAAATAAATAATATCAATCAATATAATAATAATATGGTTATTTTTTTTGTTGAATCAAAGTTAATAATTAACCATTGCAAATAAATTATTATCTGCTAATCTGGCTAATTTAGATGTAATGTTTTTTTTCCTGATAACACGAACAACAAATTATGAATATGATGAATGATGACTAAATATTCTCAATTACAACTAAACAACTATAGCAAGATAAACAAGGTGAGTTTCTTTTTCTTTGATTGATTGTTTGTTAAATTGTTTCCTGCCTGCTTTTAAAAGAGAGATGAGATCACTGAAGAATTTATTTTAACGAAGGAAACACTGATTGATATGATGATGATGATGATGTTGATGAAGATGATTGAGAAGAATTTGCCTGTCTTGATGTTGATGATGATGATGATGATGATGGTTTCAACGTTGTTGACGATGATTGCAATGATGAATGGCCAAGTAAATTGCTATTGCTACCATTACGATTCAACAAAGGGTTTGTTGATGATGTTTTCATCATCATCAAATTTGATGCATTAAATTTATTGAAATTCAAATTCTGTTGTTCACGTTCACGTTGTCGTTCCATTAATTTTTTAAGATTATTTGCACTATTATTATTATTGCCTGGAATATTTGTTCCACCACCATTCGTTAATAGTGGACCCGATGATGATGATGGTAATTGTTGCATAGCAGATCCAAAACGATTCATCAATGCTGAATTTGTATTCATTCGATTTGCCGATGATGATGATAATGTTTTCGATGGTAATGATAATGATTTTCGATTTTGTTGTTGATGTTGTTGATGCTGCTGCTGCTGTTGTTGTTGTTGTTGATCAATCATCATAGCAGCTAATGCAAAATTACGATTATTCCAAAATGCACCAAATGCAGCTGCATTAAATGCTGCTGGTGTATTAGTTGGATTCCATCCATAATGATGATGATTTCCAAATGTTGGTGGTGGTGGTGGTGGTGATGGATACAATGCAGATGTAGTTGATGATGATTGTGTTCCAAACATCGGACCATTATTATTATTCATTCTGACCACAGCCGATGATGATCCACTTGTTTTCGATGATGATGATGATGGACGTGTTGATTTCGAACTGGATGTTGATTGTTGTTTGTTATTATTACTTGTTGTTATATATGGTTTTAATGGTGGTACAATTTTTGATGCTAATGATTTTGGCCTGATTGCTAATGGTAATAAATTGATTGCCGAATGATTTGTAAATAATGAATCATTCGATTTATTCGATGTTTCCGTTGTTGATGATTTTGTTGTTGTTTTCGATAATGGTGACGATGAAATCGAACCTGATGAGGCATTACGATTATTATTCGGTGATGGTGATGGTGAAGTTATAGTTTTTTGTTGTGGAAATTGTTGCTGTTGTTTAGGTGATGATAAATCTAATGGTGCTAAAAATCCTTTTGATTTTGTTATATTCGATAATGATGATTGGCTATTTTCATTATCCACATTGTTAAATGTAGAATTTGTTATCGAAATTGATAATGAATTTAATGAATTTTTATCAACATTATTCATATTATCAGATATTGAAAGACGACGTTGTTGTGATGTTGATGTTGTTGTTATTGTTGATGATGTTGGTGTTAATATAGCCGATACGGATAATGGTGATGATTTCATCGGTGATGATTTAGGCGAGGATTGTTGTTGTTGTTTGGAACATGAACCATCATCAGATTTTGACGTAGATTCTGGTTTGGATCGTGATGGTGATGATAATGTCTGTTGCTGGGATTCTGTTTGTAAAGTTTTCTTCTGTGTAGATTCATTGGTTTTTTGTTCGTAGACATTATTTTTTGCATTGGAATTATCAGCATTTATGTCCATAACTAATTTGGAACATTCATCATCATCATCTGAATCATCATTTGAACGATCCATATCGACAATTAATTTTGGTTCAATAGAATTATCATCTTCATCAACCATTAATTGTGGTGGTGAACATGATGATGATGGTGGTGAATCACTTGATTTATGCAGACGATTTGATGATGGTGATGAACGTGGTAATTCTGGATTTTTTGTTGTTGTTGTTGTTGTTGATGGAGATCTTGATGGATCATGACTTTTAACATTATTATCCTGTGTATTTGGCACAATAATTGTTTTTGATTCAAGTGATTTTGTTGATATTCTTAATACAAGATTACCACTTGATTTTGTTGTTTGTTGTTCTTGTTGTTGTTTACTATTTTCCAATGTAACATTTTCCTGTTGTTGATCAATTTGGCTATTTTTTGCATTTATCAATTCTTCAAGTGATGAAGAAGTTGTTGGTGATAATGATGATTGATGATTACCTGTAACATTATTATTATTCATTGAATTTTGTTGTTGTTGTTGCTGTTGCTGTACATTTGATTGACCAAATGATGTTGATTTCAAACATGATGACATAAAATTTGATTTCGATGACATTTTATTAATAATATCATTGATAACTTTTCCACGTTGTTTATTATTATTATTCGGATTTGGATTTGTAATCGAATCCGCTGTTGTTGTTGTTTGATTTACAGTTTCTTTCTTTTCCACCAATTCTATTTGATTTGAATGTGATGATGGTGGTGAATTTTTTGTATATTTATTATTATTCGAATCTTGATTTGATGATTTTGAAAGCTCGGATTGTACTTCAGGCGGTATAGGTGATATTATCTGACCAATCAATTGTGGTGATGAATTTTGTGATGTTGTTAATTTTATACGTATTGCTGGTGGTGATAATGCATGTGTTATTGGTTTTATCGCTGAATTATTATTATCTTTTCCATTTGCTGTTGTAGAATTATTATTAGATGGAGAATTTGATGATTGTTTCTGTTTCGTTGGATTACCATTATCATTTGATGAATTTTTCATTTGTATTTTATCATTATGATGATGATGATGACGATGATGATGATTATGATTATGTCGATTTTCATTTTCATTTTTTGATAAATCTGTTTGGCTATCAATTGATTTGGATGATTTTGAAACTAATTTTATTATTGTTGGTTTTGTTGTTGATGTTTTTAATGATGAAGATTTATCATCCGAAACAATTGAATCAATCGATCGTTTTACTGATGGTGTTGTTATTGATTTGGCAACAAAATCACCATTCTTATTTCGACTAAATGTTATTGATGATGATTTGGATGATGAAGAAACTGATGTTTTTGCCATCGTTGAACGAACATTATAACCAGTACTAGTTGTTGTTGTTGTATTTGTAATTCGAACCGTAGTTGTTGTTGTTGTTGGCATCTGATGATGTGAATTATTATTATTATTAGTTGTGTTTGTCGATAATGTTTGTGTACCCGTATGTGTAAATTCAGCATTATCATCCATTAATTTTGGTCGTTTTTTAGCTAATTCACCCGGATGATAATTATCATATTCACGTTGAATTATTATACGCGAATTTGGATTCGTTTTTGTAATCAATTGTTGTTGTGAAGATGTTGTTGATATTTTTTGTATTGGATTTGTAATTGCAATACGTTTTGGACAATAATTATTATTTGTAGTACCAACATTTGCATCACAACGATTATTTATCATTGATGTTGAATTATTACGAACTGATGTGGTTGTAGTAGGATTTGTTGTTGTTTGTGATCTAGTGGATGATGTCATTTGATGATTTGATGATGAAGAAGCTGTTTGTTTTTGATTTTTCGATGTCATTGATGATGATGATGATGATGGTTCTTCACAAACAGAATTTTCAATTGCTTTCAATTGTGTATTTGTACGTTTACGTACAAAACAATAGGAAAATCTCATTGGATCATTCTATAAAAATGGATGAAATGAAAAACAAAAAACAAAAAAAATTAGAATCAAAAAACAAAACAAAAAAATCAAATTAAATAATTACCGCTCCCCATGTATAAATATAGGCAATTTCCATCAATGTATAATCATCTTTTAATTGCTGTCCAGAATAATAAATTTCAACTTTAAATTCATCAAACCAATCAAATGATGAATATTTATTTGATATTAATTTTTTTAATTGTAATATTGTTAATGCTGCTGGACACAGTAAATAACGACGAACCGGTTTATCCTATACATTTTCATTTAATAAAAATAAACGTAAGTTTTAAAATTTTTTAAAAACTTTTTTTTCAAAAAGTAAAATTCAAACCTCTTGTCGTATATAAAGTATATCATCATCCATATTCTCTGAACAATCTTGATTCATATTTGCTTGTAATGTATTTTGATCATTCTGTTGTTGTTGATGAATGGTTTTTGATGAACGTGTTTTTTTCATTGTATGATTGACAAGTGAAATTTTTGCATTTATCATTGCATTATTTGTCGGTGTTGTTGTTGAATTGATTGGTCTGTTAAAAAAAAATTTACAGGGTAAGATTATTAAATGATTTTCAATTAGATGTATCAAAAAAGAAAAACTAGAAAATCTGATTATTTTCAAAAACACGTGACCACATGGCGGTATAAACTCTTCCTTTTTTGTTCCTGTGAATTATTCATTATCATCGTGAATAAACAAACAAACGCCCGTGGTCACGTGTCATTGATTCTTGTGTTCAGAGCTGAAAACTTTTCATTTTTGGATCTGAATTGTTGTTGGGTTTTTTATCTTTTTCATTGACAAAAGCAAAAAATGAATAGGAATAATGATGATACTTACTCATCTAAATATTCAATTGACATTGATATTTTATCATTTGGACGAAAATAACAAGAATGAACTGAAACTTGACCAGAATCTTCTTTACTAAATGATTGTTGATCATTATGTTCATCGTAAAATTTTCTTCGACGTTTCATTTCATCAATAAATATTTGTGGTATTAATTTATACACAAGACTTTGTTTCAATTTATCCTGTCGTAATGATTGATGTGGTTTAATTTTACTTAATGGTACATCACAAATTGGACATGATTTTGATGTTTCTAAATAATTAACAATACATGATTTACAGAATGTATCTAAACATTCAACAATTGTTGTTGCATCAATAAAATAACCACTACAAATAGCACAGGTAATCATTTCATTTATATCGCTTAATAATGGATGTTTTCTTTTTCGTCCACTACCATTATTATTCTGTTGATTTGTAATTGATTCTTTTATACAATAACCATCATCGTTAATATCATTTGATGATTTTTTCAAATCATTTGTTTGTTGACCAGTTGAACATATAGTTTTTTGTGAAAATGTATAGGAAACATTACGATCATTATGGATCGTTGATGATGATGATGATTGACGAATTCCATTGAAAATCATCATATTTTGTTTCAAACCTTGATCCATTGAATTATTTCGATTATGTTGCGATTGTTGCGGTTGTTGTAGCGATTGTTGTTGATTATTACCAATACTTTTAGTTGCCGTTATCATGCCGCTAGTTGTCATTTTTTTAAATTTTTTTAAATTTTGAAAATTATGATGATGATTCTGGTGATTATTTGATAAAGATTGATTATGATTTTGTGAGCTTAGTAACATAATTTAACTTCCTTCTGTGTTTTCTTCCAAAATTTGAATTGATTTTTCCTATACAGAGAGAAAAACATGGGGAAAAAGATGTTAAACACGTGTGTGAAACATTCAATTAAATGACCAAAAGTGGGGGGAAATTCCAATTGGTGGGGGGAAGGAAGAAGGAAAAAAATTATTCAATAAATGGATGGCGAGCACATATATATCATCATCAATGATGATAATGGTAAAAAAAACGCGCGCGCACATACACTGTAACAAACCGAATCAAAAGTAGTGGCCTGGAAAATATTTTCATGAAAATAACAACAATAACAACAATCAAATCAGATGGTGGTGGTGGTGGAGAGGGGGTGAAAAAAACACCGAAATAGGAAATTGAGAAAAACTGCTTATTCAAGTTATATACACGGGGGCAAAGTAAAACGGATGGTTAACTGCAAAGCACAGCCATCCACCGATCAACATCATCGGCATTGGCATCGGCAGCTGCCTTTGACCCGAACATACACACACAACACACAACAGAACATACATTATCCGCCATTCACAACCCCCAAAGAAAAAAACTGACAAAAAAACACATAGCACATACCACCATAATACCCCACGCGCCATCATCATCATCGCCATTCAGTCCATTCAACTTTTCACATAGAAAAATGATTTCAGTAAGAGAGAGATCATGAAACCAGAAAGAAGAAAGAAAGAAAATAAACAATAACAAATTCAAATGTCATTTTGGTGGGGGGAGGTTGGTAATTTATATTTTTGAAACAAACAAAAAAAATCGCTTGAATTCAATTTCTAATTGATTTAAATTGAATAATAATCTTTTGGCAGAACGTGAATAACGTTTTTTTTTCTCCTCTTATAGTCGATGTTCAAAAGCAAAAAACAATTCAATTTTTCATCAATGATGGAAAAGAATTTGAAATAAAACAAAAAGTTTTCAAATCGAATATTTGCGTGTGTATCCACAAAGGTAAGAAGATTTGTGTGTTTGGTTTGGTTAAAATCTCAACCTGATCACCACCATTGTGTTTACGAATCCTGTATGAAAAATTACAAATTTTTCATTCAAAAATTGGTATTTCAATCAGGTGAAAAATCAATTTTTTGTTACTTTTGTAGCGGTGTACTGATAAATTATTAATGAAATTCAAACTTGTTACTAAAAAAAAGCTATTTTAACTCAATCAGTGTAGAAATCAGAGCGAGATTGTTCAATTGTGTGTGTGTGAAATTCATAAATTTATAATGCGATATGTCACAAATCAACAAAGTAAGAATGAAAGAAAAGAAAGAAAAAAAACTATAATTAAATTTACACACAGTTTACCACAGGAAACCTATCATTCTTATTTTTACTTGATTCTAATAACAACAGCAAAAAATAACACAGCAGACATTGAAAGTGGAACAAAAAATGGAATATTCAAGAGAAACGAAAAAAAAACACATGAGAAAATCGAAAGATTTTGTTTATTTTCAAACCAAACCAAACCAACACAAATATCAATCAATCAATCAATTACAAGTTTTTTTTTGTATATAATTTTCTTCTTTAAGGCCAAACATTTTCAACCAATCTTTGTTTTTTCACCCAAAAATTATTATTATCATTAACCAAATCAACCTTCAACGAGTAAAAAAACAGAAGATCAGCAGCAGTGACCATTCGCTATAAACAAAAAACAAGACAAGTTCTACGGAAGAAGCAGAAAAACCCCAAACAATGAATGGCTATAGAACATCCACATATAGAATTTCACTAATTTCATAGTTACAGTGTCTGTGTGTGTGTCTACCAACATAGACACGTGCACGTACACTTCCTATTAACCAAACGATAACCAAACAAACAAACGATAAGTGTAAAACAAACAAAACACGTAACAAAATAAAAAACAAACAAACAAAACAGAAAAAACAATAAACAAATACGTATGAAAGCAAAAAAAAATGAGAAAATTCCACATACACATTATACAATGACATTTGATGATGATAAAAACACTTAACACATGATGTGAAAACAGGATTGAAGAAAACAAAACAAAAAATGTTTGACATGTTTGACATTGGATTCTTGTTGTTATTTTCCTATAGAATAGTTAGGTAGTTAGTTAGGTAGGTAGTTTGAATCAACCAGATTAACAGGTGAAAATGCAAAAATTTGAAATTCTTTTCTTTTCAAATCAACTTTGACATATATCTAGAATAATTAACACGTGAGTATTCAAATTAAAGCAAGAAAAAAAAACCATTCATAACGGAATCAATCAAAAAAAGGGAGAAAAGAAAAACTTCGGGTGAGGCCATCATCATCATTGCATACAATGAACCAAAACTAAATCAACCGACCGATCGATAGATCGATCGATCGACCGACCAAATATATGTTGGCCAAAAATATACGTTGCATTTTTCAACAACAACAACAACAAAAAAACAACGATAATAATATATGTCAGTCACATAGGGACATTGAATTGAATTGAATTGAACTATTCAATCAACAACAACAACGTTTGTTATGCACTATTTTGTATATTGATAAGTGTTTGTGTGTGTGTGTGCATATAAGTGCAGATCCCTGCCTATATTATAATCTAACCAAAAAACCAAAAAAAAAAGATAAGTACGTTTTTTTTCAATGTAAATCATTATTTCAAAATGATGATTACCAAGTGTTTGTTTGAAAAATTTTAAAAATTTCATTTTAAAAATTATCTATAACGGTAATCTTTAACAATGAATTTTAATCTATAAAAAAACAAAAACATTTTGTTTACAAAATTTGCAAATCAAATCAAGAATTTCATTTTTCATATGTTTTGTTTATTGATTAAATAATAAGATTGGATGGTCATTATATAAAAAAAACAACAATGAAAAATGAATTATATGCAGATGTTTTATGGATAATCATCATTATTATTATTATTATCCGCATCATCATTAATAATAACCGGTGCTATCAATAATAATGATAATAAGTGATAAGGGTGCCCCAGTTGTCTACGCGAGAAAAAAAAATTCATATTTCTCTCTCTCTTGCCAGAAAATACTTTTATGGAAATAAGAATAGGAAATACAAAACCATCACCATCTTTCATCTCTATCCATTCTTTCTCTTTTAAAAGAATGTTTTTGAATAGAAAAAACTTGATGGACAGGCAAACAACAACCACTTGTTGTTGTTATTTCTTCTCTTTCTCATCATCATCATCATTTAAGTTGTTTTATTTCATTCTTTTCTTTTCAATTCAATGATGATGATGATGAATAAAGCATCCAAGCAGATCAATTCTACCTTTTTTTTAAAAAAGATAATAGTTTGATGGTCGCCATAATCATCATCATCATTATCATTGTTATCGAATATATAAAAAAAAAGATTTGATAAAATGGGAGCAAAAAAATTCTCCCGGTAGATGAATGAATGGTTAAAAGAATGTCTATATTTTTTTCTTGAGAATCTAATATTGACTATCGGTATTTGCTATATGTGAATGAATGAATGAATAAACAAAGAATCATCCTTGAATCAAAAAACCAATCATCAATCATCAAAAAATGGAAAAAATCGAATCGGGCGAAAGAAAAAACATTCATTTCAGTGTTTTAACCCACCACCACCACCAACCACCAACAACAACAACAAATTCATTCACATGATTGATCAGACATTTGTCAGTATGGTTTGTTTGCTTGTTCGTTTGTTTGTGTGAATTGGGTATAGGTTCAATGAACATAAATCATTTCAAATCGAATTTCGATCGAAATTCAAAAATCAAATACTATCAATCAATCAGTCACATAATATTTTATCTTTTTAGATTCGATGATAATCATCAACAACAACATTATCGATTGCCAATTGAATCATCATTATCTATGAAAAAAACGTTTTTTCCAAGTTGATTGAGACATCATCATTAACCAACCAAACAAGCAAACAAACAAACAAAAATCGGAAATCAACAAAAAAAACCGAATAGGGGAATGAATATTTAGGCAACAAATTTGTTGATGTTCAAGGAAAAAAACTGTAAATGTTAGCTAGTTTTTTGCTGACTTGATTTCATTTTAAACAAAAACAACAACAAAAAATTGTTAATAATGATGACATCAACAAGAAAATTGAATATCTACCACAACTTCATTCTTATAATCTTTAAGATTATCATCTTGAGATCAACCAGAGATCGAATCTTGATCCCAAATCTTATCGATAATCTTATCTTTGATAATCTAATATAAACCAGAAAGAAAAGATAATCAAATCAAACATATATCGAACCAGACTAAACACACAAACAACAAAAAAAAAACCAGAAAAAATCAAATCAAACCAATCAACCAACCAGAATGCAAACATGCAAAATTAGACACACACTTGAAAGCTCTCTCTCTCTCTCCCTCTTTCCCTTAACACAAACATAATGATCAATAGAGTTTTTTTTTATTTGATAACCGTTTTTCACACACACAGAGAAAACGATCCAATAACCAAATGTGCCAATATTGAAAATATCAGTGCATATATCAATGTCTATGGTTTATGTGTTGCCAGGGCGCAAGCATTTTGTTGTTATTTCCAATCATCCAACCAACCATCCATTCATTCATTCATTCATTCATTCATTCAGTCAGACAGCCAGCCAGCCATTGAAGCCCAGCATAACAATTGCCGGTCGGATAACAGATTCAATTCAATTCAATTCGACAACTGCTGCTGCTGCTCATGAAATATCACATACAACAGCAGCAGCCGACGTTGATCATGATCAACAACAACAACGATGATGATGGTGATTATAATGATGATGATGATGATTGTTGAAAAAATGATTACAGGCCGTGACGTTCAGCATTTTTTCCATTTTTACTAGCCAGAAAATTTAGATATTACATATCACCACTGTGTGTATGTATGGTGGATCAGTCCGTTTTAACATCATTGGAAAAAAAGCAAACGAAGCCAGTTTCTCTCTCTCTCTCTCCCCGATTTTTTCACCACCACCATCAGCAGCAGCAGCAGTACTCATGATTTAAGCGAAATAAGTTTTTTTCAAAAGCCAAATATTTCATTACATTATAGACCGTATCAAAAATAACTATTGCCCGTTTATATTCATTTATGATTATTGGCTTTACTGGTTTCGCTTATTTTTTGTGTGTGTGCGGTGGTGAAAAATCATTATTATTATCCTAGGTATTGTCAAATTACCGACCTTAATGCATTCATTTTTTTCTTTCTTTCACCTGCTGTACATTTCAAAATAATAAAAAAAACTAATTTTATAATTTCAAATTACGATATTTATGAATGGGGGAAAAAAAATCAAAACTTGTCAATTTTATCGCATTAGTTTCTGTATTGAAAAAAAGGAACCAGAAAAAACAACAACGAATAGCTTGCTTGAATGTTTTTAACACTTAAAGACAACCCAATTTACAAATGACAGAATCAACTTACCTGATCTAAAAGTGTTTATTCTAGCAAAATCTAATCATTGGTTTTTTATTCTGGTTCTTGATAAGTTATTAAATCTTTAAACAACATGCAGAATATCATGCCCAAAACAAAACAAAGCAAAGCAAAGCAATTCATGCAATAAGCGATTGCAAAAGAATAAATCGTGAACGTACCTTTTGTAAATGACAGATCAAATATAATCAAGTCATTCTTCAAGAATATTCTTTTCCGAAAAACCAAAAAACAACGAAATGACACCGGCGGCGGGAAAAAAATCGAACGTTTTATTTTTGTTTTTTTGTTCCGTTTTTAACCGCCGTAAGATGGCGTCTGTAGAATATCAAATATATAGAGATGGATGTTTCTCTCTTTCAATGTTTACACACAAAAAAACAGGACAGTTTCGTTTCGTTTTGTTTGTTTGTTTTTTCACCCGGGGAAAACAGAAAAACAAAATCCAATTTCAAAAATGTCAATTAATGTTGTTGATGATTGTCAATCGATTCTGATGATAAGCCAAAGAAACTGATAAAGAAACAGACACAGAAACAAACTAAAATCAAACAAAACTTTGTAGTTTTTTTTGAAAAACACACACAAAAAAAACATTCGATGAATACGGCGGGCTCGATCATCAAAAACACAACACGACGACGACGACATCAACAAACGACGACAACAACAACAAAAGTAGAACGAACAGCGGATATAAATAAAGAGAGAGCCAAAATGCAAAAAAAAAAGCGGCGCGCACTCACATCGAAGAAGAAAACAGAAGAAGAAACCAGACAAACACTGTAAAACATACACACACACAGCAAAAGTATTTTGAATAACTTGCAACATGTATATCGAAGAAGAAGAAAAAAAATGAGGAGCCAAAAAAAAAATTTACGACAAAAAATTGATTTGCAAACCAGAAAAAAACCAAAAAAAACCAAAAATAAAATCTAAACCACACCGTATGAATGCTACAAACAGACTGACTGACTGACTGAATGGATGGCTGTATATTGGACTTGGACGATCGTTGTTGTTTGTTGTTCGTATACCGAAAATAGGATGCCGTGCCTATGTAATTCAATTCGTACAATGTAATAGGAGAGAGAGAGAGAGAGAGCAAAGCAGTGGTGTATGCAATGGGAAAATAGAGTCAGAAAAGAGAGAGAGAGAGAGAGAGAGAAACACAGATACAGATGTATGAAGAGAGAGAAGAGAATACCAACAACAAACAGCAGAAAAATGATACAGGCCACAGCCCGAACATGATTCTGATTGGTCGATTTTGATTGAATTCAAATGATCACGTGATTAGTATTTTTTTTTTTGAAAAAGAACACTATTTCAATCCTTGTGTGTTTGTTTGTTTGTCTATTGTTTGTCGCTTTGTTGGTGTAGAAACAGGCTTCATTGATGATGATGAAGAGGGAGCGAAACACAAAAAAAAAGATAGCAAGAGAAAAGAAATGATACAAGGACGCCATAGGTAGTAGTAGTATGATATACAGTAAGTCTGTGTATGTTGGTGTGTGTGTGTGTGTGGCATTCCAATGACGATATTTTTTTTTTTGCTTTCTTTGCCGCCCGATCCACTGATGATGATGATGATGTTGGGATTTTTTTTTGCTGTATATGTAATATCTGTGTGTGTGTATGTTTTGTCTATCTATCAGAAAAAATGGATGATGGGCAAAAATGAAATATTGAAGTATTGTGAAGCGAGAAAAAGATGATGATGATGATGAATCTCGAGTTTCTCTAGCATCCTCAATCATCATGATAATGATGATGATGATCAATGAAAACATTGTTGTTAAAGAGACACAGAGTGCCAGAGTGTTAAAATAAATATGAAAAATGGATGGATGAATGACAAACCAAAACTATCCAAAAACTAAAACTAACCAAAACTAACAATTTGAAACCAATTAAATCAAAGAAAAGAAGGAAAAATAAGAATCGATAATGACCAAATATGATTAGATTTTCTGCATATCTGATCTATAATCATCAGAGATTTTGATTGATTTTTTGGGTGACAAGCAATGAAAAAAGGGCAATTGAAAAATTGATTGATATTTGATCATCATCAAATGAATGGTTGTTATATGTGACAGGAACATGAAACATGCGATACAAATGATGATGATTTAAAATGTCCAATAACCAATCATTAATTCGAATCAAATCGATCAAACTAATGATAATGTCCTATACATTTTCGGCCAATCGAATGATAATCTTTTATAGACACAATTTTGTGATTTTAGGTAAAAAACAAAACAAAATTTTCTGAAATCCAAAATGATGATGAATATTGGTAAGTTGAACATTTATCCAACCAAAAATCAAGGACAATTTTTTAATCAATCGACTGGCTGGTTGATTTGTTTGTTTGGTTTGGTTTGATTTATGACATCATCAAAGAAACGTTTTTTGTTTTGTTTTTCTATTTGGCATTTCAAAAACGTTCACTTTTTCTGGTTTAAATGTGATCAGTTTCGAAAAAAATTGTTTCGAAAGTTTTTTTTTTCAATAACAAATATTTATAAACAAGTTGTAACCAGTAATGTAAATGATTATTATTTAGGATGATGATACTATGACGACCATAAAACCGTCGACAGTGTTAAATCGCGATATAACCAACAAAACTTCAGACTGCATTGGAATGAGAAACAACAAGAAGAATGAGGACAGGACAAAACATTTGAAACATAGGAAAAAAACGTTTTGTTTAAAAATTGTGGAATGTTCTGTCCATCGATAATCGATAAATGATGACCATAATTCTTCAGTAAAATATAAACATTTTTTCTGAAGAATTTGAAACAAAACAAACAAAAAGATTTATCTAAACAAAATCCGACATTTGGATCGATGGAAAGCAAAAAACACATGGTCGATAAGCAAGAGAAAAACTTGAATTTCGAAATTTGAAACCTATCGAATAATTCACATTCGAAGAAACAAGATAAACAATGGATTGATTACAGCAAAAAGGCAAACATTTCCAATAAAACATCGAATCATCGATTCATCGATTTATTTATGTTACCTATAATTTTTTTAAAGTAATTTAAAACAATTTGATTAACCCCGAAGTTTAAACAATGATTTCGAGAAACATTGATCTAAATTTGTAAATCAAAATATAAATAAAAAACCCAGTATAGGTTACAAGATAGAAAAGATATTGACAGATAATTTGTAATCAAGATTTATCCAATTTGTAATTTTGTTCAATATTAATAATGACTAAATTAACAAAAAAGTTTTCTATTAAAAATCAAGGCCGAAAAACAATTTTTTTGACTGTAAAAAAAACGGTTTATATTGACAGTGGAAAAGACGCTTTTTCGCTTATTTTCATTTTTGTTCGCTTAAATTATAGTGTGCATGTCTCCCTATTCAATGTAATGCTGTGCGTGTATGCTGTGTGTGTAATGTGTTGTCTGTGTGTTCATTCGCCGTTCAACTTTTCTATTTCGACTGCATTGCATGTGGATTTTCTCAATCAGGATGCACCAGAAAAATGATTTCATTAAGCTAATCTTTTGACGAAGAAGAACAAATTGGCCATATTGAATCCAGAAATCCTGAATCGATAAATTGATTGATTGAAACACATAAAAAACCCAAAAGAAGAAGCAAATCTTCGAACTATAAAAAAACCGAATGAAAAATCTCGTTTCATTTTCATTTCAAAAAATTTAAAATTTTTCCGAAAAAAACTTTGAAATTTTCGATTAAACCAAAAAATCAAAAGAAATTATAGGTTTTAATCAAAACAAAATCGATTTTTTTGATTGATTGAATTACAAAACTACCAAATCTTTGTTATTTGGATCTTTCATGATTCGAATATTCATTTCTTGGTGAATTTTTTGATCTAAGATATTGGAGATTAAGATACACAGCAAACATTCAAAAAAAGAATCAAATTCTTTCATTTCATTTTCACCACAATCATCAATTGATGATGATGATAAATGAGCAATTTTAGACATGAAAATTCGTGAAAAAATACGTTTCGAAAATGTTTGAAGTTTGATTGCCAAAGTCTCTTCTTCGGTAAGTGAAGATAACTTCAAGTCTGGAATCTTGAAGAACCGACCAAAATCAGAGAAAAAAAATTATTTCAGCTACAAGGTAGACAAACTTCAAACATTCTTTTTCTTCTTCGTTTTACCTACCTATCTTTACCTTTCATCATCATCATCATTTATCTTTGTTCTGGTCACGTTCATTGAAAAACTTTCGTTTGTTTTCTTCTTCTTCACTTTTAAATCAATGAATTTCAACGTAAACAGATTTCACATTTGACCTTTGACTTCCATTTATTTATATGTTATCTTTATATAATGATTTTCTTTGTAAATTTCCATCTTCTTCTTAGTTTATTAACTAACTTGAAATGCTTAGATGCATTAACATTGGAATTTTTTTTGAAATGATATTTAGATTTTGATCAAAACATCAAAAAAGATGTATTGATATTATAGAGAGATTAATGATAAGTGAATATAAAAGTGATTGAAAAACCATTGAATAACAGATTTTCATCAGATAACATTAGATCAGATCTATATATTCATCTGATTGATGATTATTGATCTATATATAAATTATTGATTTTAATCTAATCACATTTTTTTATTTCTAATATATTTATAGACAAAAACGATTTACATTGTTTTCAATTGTGTTAAAAGTTTACATTATTAACTAAACTTTACTACATTATCCACTGAATGATGAATGACAAACACCAATGATTCATATAGAATTTGAAGGAAAAATTATCTATAAGTTATTTTTATTGGTTTACAAAAGTCGCGTTATATTTTTTGCAAGTTTAAAATAAAAAGTATTCTAATTTATTTATTATTTGATATTTTTACAAAAATTTTTTTTAATATTTTACAAATTAATAATGAATATTTGTTGGCCATTTGCTTTTTTGCATTTTTAATTAGTTTTGGCATTGATTCTACTAGTTTTTCAAGGTCCGAAACCGGAATTGAATTCCATGTTTCGGTAACGGTGATGTAGATACTATTTGATACTATTTTAGATATGAATCGTTGATTGGTTACCACAGCGAATAACATAATTATGGATCTGGTGTTGGGGATGCAGTATCATAATAATCAATACCATACGACTGCTGATTTCCATTCACGTGAATCAGGCATGTTTAATGCTTCTTTATATGATAATGGCGTAACCTGAGAATTCATACATGTATAACCGAATCGAGGTGGATAAGATAATTGTGGATTATTTATCTTGTTGGAACCAATAAATGATAACTGTTATGACATTTATGAATAGCTGTGTGCTATTGATATAAATATCTGAAAGTGCTCAATAAAATATTATTCGTTCTGTCGCCATCGATCTGTCTACATGTATATTTGTTTGTTATTACAATAACCATCCAGAAGTGCTTTGGATTCAGCTTCACAACTGGACGTTGTAACTTATTTTCTTATTTGCTTTATATGATCAAATACAAGTATGTTACAAAAGTTCACAATTTATAACAGCCCCCCCAAAATGAAATACTCTTTCAAAGATTTTAAATACTTTATAAAAAAATATTGAAAAATAGACAATTCTTTTTTTCAAATCTTCGAAATCCATTGGAATATTCCCGTACAGGTTCGAATCCTGTTGGCTTTTGTCACGGAAAACAAAAAGAAACTTTATTCTTGAAACTTCATTCAAACTTTAAATTTGTCAAGTTTGGATGTTTGATGAGTTAACGATGACGAGTTAACGAGTTAACGATGACGAGTTAACGAGTTAACGATTAAGGAATTCATTTAGATTTGCGATTCATTCAAAACGTTGTTTTTTTGGATTTTTTTAATTAAAATTTTTTTTTGATAAGCATTGTGTTGGGAGTTTTCATCTATGGAAGATAATAGATTCCTGATTTTGGTTCCATCGTCATAATTTTTTCCATTTA